AATTTTCAATGCCGCGCAGAGATGCAAGCCTCCATTGTTGCGAGCGGCACTTGGCCAATGTCATATTCCGGATAGTTGGGCGAGCATTCGCGTATGAAAGTTATATTCAAGTCTGGTATTTTGTATTCGCGAGGGGTGAGCGATGTACAATTCGGTAAGGCCTCTCCTGGTACTGGCGTAGCTTGTTTGGGCACTGGAATGCAGGTCATGTTTCCGCTTGATGAAAGGGGTGAACATGGCGAAGACACTGAAGCTTGAAGCCTGCGTATCAACCGTAAGCATCGGTGTCAGAAAAGTCTCATATGAGGCCCTTACTCTTTGTAAGTCTGCTCCATTAGGCCCAGGTCTTTCGCTTTCGATCCTGCAATAACGGAAGCAGCTATAGCACCGGCCAAGAGCACCAAGCAGAGCAAACCCAACCAGAACGATGCTTTCCTGATGCCGCAGATGAGACTATCCCTACGCTCTTGCGATTGAACGTGGGTTGAGCAATTACTGTTATCACCAGTTGTGACAGTCAGGAATTGCTGGCCATGATCAGGGTTACCCTTGATGGGCTCAGAGAGCTCAAGGCCCCCAAACTCCACAGGCATCAGATCCGAAAAGTGGCCTTTCCTGTCTTGCTGATTGGCGGATTCGAGAGGTTCGGGTAAAGAGAGCAATGAAGTGTGGCTGGGGGCCATTGGCGGCTGTGACAATGAACCAGAGTGAAATGACAATGTCGGCTGGCTGGCCTTTAGCCTGCTATTGGGTAACTTGATAATTATATACACAGCCGGCGCAAGCACTGCCAGAAGAGGACTGTATTGTTGATTGACAGATACCTGCTGCCAATCTCGGCCAAAGCTGCGAGCGATAGGTTGATAGACTGTTGGCGTGGTCTCAGATGTCTCTGCCATCTGTGACTCGAAGCCATGAGACTGGGACAGAGGCTGTCACTCGAAGATCTTTGACTCATCCCTCGATACTTCTCGCTTCGTCTAGTACTTTGAACAAATTGTCGGTATGTAAAATGAGAATCAGCATTCACACCTTTTCGGTGGGATGTGTCTCGTTTACATCTATGGAAGGCTCTCACAGCTGACCTTACCTTTAACAGGTTCATATTTGGTATTGTCTTTTTTCTTTTTTCCTGTTCGTAGACTGACCATGTATTTATTTTGGCTAATCAATCTCTCTGACCAACTGACTGCGGAGTGGCTGACGTGATATGGGGGAGAAAGCGAGATCCTGTGACCGAACCTCTACTTTCACCACAGAATCTGTGTGACATTCATCTCGGTACAAGCCTCAAATGCCTGGTTGTGTATGAGACCTCGATGCCGATGCACACGAGCACAGTGTAAACATCAGAAACCTATGGAAACCAAAGTACGACAACGCTGTAGAAATGTTTATGCAAACATCCGAGACAAAGTAATTCACATCACTCATAATTGCGAAATGTATTCCTGTATTTGAGAATCATCTGAGATCGTTTTCGAAACAGACATCGCCGTATCTCATTTGCCCATTGAGTGACGGCCACGAGGTAATCTGCTGCTAGAAGACTACACTGGTAATATTCACCATGGTATGGTTCCCTCACTATTTGAAAATGTCCCCGTCTCCCCACCAGGTTCCAACGTAGCTAAGCGGCAAACGCTGACAGCACCTGCTGCGGCGCTTTGGGGTGCCTGAAAGTCGGTGAAGTTGGTAGCGCAATGGCCTGGACAAGCCATGTTGATTTTCCATGTGGGATCCTGTGAATAGTGCGCGGCAAGATTGACAGCCACCATGTTCAGCGCTGTCTTGCTGGCGGCGTATACCTTGTACGGAAGCACAAATGCCTTCGATGGTTCGGTCTTCCATGCGAGGCTGCCGAGTTCCGACGACACAAATACAATCCGCTTGGTCTTTGTCGAGTTAGCCAGCAGTGGGAGGAAGCTGTCGGTCACGGCGAAGGTGCCAAAGACGTTGGTGTCGAAGACTTTCTGCCATTCTTTGCGCGCCCATGGTCCCATTGGCGAGTCGCCACCGATGCCTGCATTGTTGATCAAGACATCGAGGAAGCCGTATTTATTGGACACGTAAGCCACTGCTTCTTCAATGGATTTATCTGATGTTAAATCAAGAACTAGAGGCTCGACAGAGTGTCCTTCAAGTTCAAGCTCTTGGGCAGCTTTCTCAATCGCATCTTGTCGCCGACCAGTCATAATTATATGATAGTTTGTGTTCTCAGCTGACAACTTCCTGGCAATCTCGAGACCTATGCCCTGGTTTGCGCCGGTCACCAAAACAATCGTAAGCGGAAGAGACATGGTCCTTATTAAAAAGACTGGTATGAGAGGAGCTAGGTGGTGCGCTGTGAAGGACTGAGGATCGTGGATGTATGGCAGTCATGTTGCCCTTTTATAGGCTTCATCTCCCTGCGTATTAGTTTTCTTTTTTCTCTTTCGTAATTCTCTCTCTTTCTTCCGTTTGGAAATCTCATCGAGTACAGCTCGACGCATGTTAAGGAAGCATTCAGGTGATTGAAGCATTAAACCTTATTACCGAAACCGAAGACCTGAAGGAGCCCGGTTTCACCCATCGATCGCTCCTACTCGCTAATTCCTGTACCTTGGTTCAACATCTCGGCCTCGGACTTCTACAGTATTTCCGGCCGTCTCCATCTTCCCAGCACGTTGTCCTGTGGCTCGTCGTTGCCTCGTCTTATGTCCGACCAGTCCTTTCTCAAGTATCTGGACCATAAGTATCAACCCAAAACCAACAGCAATGACGCTAATACTTGAACGTTCGACCTAAGCTCGGGCTGGAAAGTTCCGCATCAGATATCGAAAGGCTCTGGGGGCTGGCTGGGGTAATGTTAAAACCTATCAATATCTGTGGCAGTCGGAAACTCCTGTCAGGAATTGTCTTGTGAGCGGGCAATTCCTTTGCCGGCCTCCACTCATTAGATGCTGGACGTCCCTTACCCATACAACAGCTCACCGCCATTATCAGCCCTCATCGTTCAGTCTTGCTGGGTTATCTCTTTACAAGAAGGATCTCAATAATTCGAGCTTGTTTCCTATGATCAGCAGGTTTGCGAGAACAATTGGTTGTAAGGTCGTTGCAGAGTGGAGGACGTGTGACTGGTTGACTTTCAGAGCTGCCGTGCTTCTTGAAAACTATACAAGTTCTTACTTAAAAAGGCCTCGTATAATTAATAATTAGTTTTGTGATCAGATCAGGACAACTGCAGCAGACTGGCAGCTGTTGCCTGAGGTGCATCTGTCGGAGCGCTTGACACTTGAAGAGCTTACGTTGCGATGCACCTGAATGACTCCAAACGGGCGTGCCGTAGTCAGACGTCTAGATTGATGTACCGGTTGGACGAATCACAATCTTTGGTTCGGGAACGTCATGGAACATTTGTGTGACTACGCAAGAAGTTGTGTATGATGAAGGTTCTGTGTTAAGTTGGCCACATGCGGGAAGCTGAAACAATTCGCATAATTCATACATACCAAACTTCATAGTATCAATATCTTTGAGTCAGCAGATATCCGGTTTACATGTGTGCTAATTTGCTGGATTTGGCTGCCACTCGAGGGCGGTCTTGATGTGAATGATACGATACAGCTGACAGATTCTGGTGGTACCTGAGATCGTGAGTGGTCAATATCTCGGCAACTCATGGACATTTGGCACCTAACCTGAACCGATTATCTACTTGGAAAAGGTCTGCAGTGGAAATTTGATCCCTTGTCCCACATCAACTTCAAGATTGTTTCGTGATCACCGCGACATGATGATGTGCGCATCCCACCGGGACATCGGATCCCGTCAACCCCAGGTCCGCGAATGGACGGGTCATATGGGCCCACATAGGCCATAGCGTTTTACAACTTACTCCTGCATCTTCCCTTGCAGGCCGTCTTTCCGTCCGAAATCCGACATCACATCAGCTCAGCTTCCCGGAAGAGACAGTGTCGCCCACCAACTTCCTCCATCCAATCCACGCCGCAGGTACTGTGCCGCATCTACCGTAATCGCGGCACCCTCGGATCTGGATTTCCAGAAACGAGCCACCATTCCGGCGTTTGCCGGTAGCCTCCTTACGAATGATGGCTGACTTGGAACAAGTGGCTGAAGAAGCCGGGCCGAGGAACCGGGCTGTAAGTTACCACTGAGATTATCCACGAGACTCCATTGCTGACTACGGGTCTAGTGTGATTTGTGTTTCTCTAAGAAGGTAGGTTGAAGCCTCCGTCATCCGGACTCATCTTACTACCAGGCTAACCTGCTGTGTAAGATCAAATGTGATAGAGATGACCCCTGTGCCAATTGTGTAGCAGCATCTGCTCCATGTCTACGAAGACGACCAAGAAGAAGAGTCAAAAACACGGCAGAGCCAATGTCAGTTTGGTGATGGATTACAAGCTTTGAGGGTTTCTACAAGTCAGAGCCGTATCTGATCTAGTTCCATCACAGTCAACGCAGATTTCAAACCGCGGCCTATCTTCCAAATTGGCGTAGATCCCAGTCACCTAGAGCGCCCTCAATCACTTCAAATCCTGCAACCGTTTCGGCAAGACTACGAACAGCCCCAGAGCCTACTAGGGCTCTAAGTACCGAACCGCAGTCTCAGAAGACACCGGCATCTCAACATGGCAGGCAGTCAATTTCGTCCAGTAGCACTGAACGAGGACCCGCAACTGTGCAGGCACAACATCATATTCAAACAGAGCTTCAAAGCCGAGCTGGACTTGACGAGAGCAAGCGACAGGTTTTAGAGTCAGCTCTGGCTTTCGCGACGAACAACACCCTCCCTGCACTCGCAATTGACCCTGAAGGCTACGCGTCTGAACCCACCGACCTCTCCGATGAAAGTCACTATCCATCAGTCGAGACACTTCATTTCATGTTGAACAGCAAGTGCATTACCTCACAGAAGCTGCGACAATGGCAAGGAACAAGTAACTGACTAATTGCTAGGTCCGAGAAAGGGGGCTGGATTGTGTTTCATACTCGACATGGGCAGTGTAGTCTCACCGAAAACGTTCGAGAAACAGGGTCTCGACTTGATCGAGAAGAAAGTATCAGGCGCAACTTACCTCCACTACACAGTCAATGTCAACTTCCTGGCTTGGATCTATCTCGGGGCAACGAACTCAGAGCCTGGTACTCTCATGCATGCGCATCTGCTCACAAGGCAACAGCAGTATGAGAAGAACATACTTATAGCTCTGCATCGTATTGGGGTTCTCGATCCCCCAAGTATGTCGCTGTTTCAGGCACTTTTGTCAGGGGTAAGCGCCAGTGAGTATCTACATAGTTACCGAAGACTGACGGCGTATAGACGATGTACATGTTGCTCTCTGGCAAGTTGGAGAAGTGCTGGCAATTGAGTACTGCTGCATGTCGTACTTGCATGGCTCTTGGCGGCCCTCAACTCATATCATCACCATCTGACAAATTTGGGTCTGAAGAAGCTCGATATGGCCTTTCTCTTTGTTACATGTTCGACAAAGCGTTGGCATTGAGTATGAACCGGACAGCATGTTTGCCTGACATGAATCTCGATACTACAGACCTACTCGGTCCTGATCCAGCAAAGCCGCATACATACCTGCTTCATGTGTACTTGCGGCTAGCCGAGATTCAAAACGAAATTGTTCATGGCTCCAGAGAACGGAGTAACTCGAAGGACATGCTCTCCAGGGTTCAATGCATGCAACAGGAAATGTGGAAGATTAAAGAAACCATTCGGGAGGTGGGACAATTCTTTATTGGCTGGCACACAACATTGAAGACACGAAAGTTCTGACATGATGCTAGTTCCGCAACACACAGCTCCAATCTAAGGATAGCTACCTGAGAGGCGAGTGGATGGGAGTCGACTTCGCCTACCATTCCGTCATGACTTCTGTGGTGAAGCTCCATCCATACCTAGCTGAAGACGTTGGACTGCACCAACAGCTCCTTGGATTCGCCCGAACGTCACTATCATCTCTCAATGATATGCTATTACATGCCAAGACTCTCACAGACATCCATAACTTCAGGGTTTCCGTTTCATGGTGAGTCGTTCCTCTGTGGCAATTGAAGCATTGCTAACACTCTCAGGCTTGTGCTTTTCTACCCGCTATACCCCTTTTTCGTGCTTTTCACTCACGCAGTCAGCGTCTCCAGCGTACAGGATTATCAACTACTAGCAAACGTCACGAATGGCCTGCGAGAATTCAGTGGGCAGAACTCAGCTTTGATGGGTGTTCAAAAGCTTTTCGAGGGATTCATGGCATTGTGTAAGCCAACATTCAGGAAAGACTCTCGGACTCAGACATCAAGCGTCGTACAGGAGGCAACACAGTCCACAGCAAGAGGGGCTAGCCCGCCCTCTGCGCAAGGGTCTTCACAGGTGCTGGAAGCATCGGAACAAAACAGAGTTGCGGTGCCCTGGTGGACAAACCCATTCGCAACGATTGCTGAGGAGGATGCAGACAACGCATGGAGCTCTGCCAATGGCCATAGTTCGGGGGTCATTCCAGACTTCAGCTCGTTGGATGAACACGATTTGTTAACAGAGCTGTACAACACGCAGCCTTCTATTGGGTGGATCGATGCACCATGGCCTTCAGCAAGTCATCCATAAATGCAACTATAATTGAGTTGAACCGATTTCACAAGATTGAATCACAACAATACGTTTTCATGCCTGACTATTGCATCTGTAAGGAAGGCTATAGCATGGACACGAAGACATTGCTATCTCGGTCTACTTTGATTAACCGAGACCTGGAATTAATCGAAAAACATTCCACCAGAAACATTTATGCTCGCGCCGTTGATCCAGCTGGCTCTCTCCTCGGCCAAAAACGAAACAGCGAAAGCAACATCCTCAGGCAACCCAATCCATCCATCAACTGGAGTCCGCGCATCGAAGATCTGAGTCAGAAATGCGTTGCCCATCTTCTGAAGTTCGCCAAGGAATTGCGGTGTTTTAACAATACCGGGCGACACTGCATTCACTGTGCACCCATAAGATGGCGGGAGGTCCTTGGCGAAACATCTGGTGAGAGTTGCAATTGCGCCCTTGCTAGTTGCGTAGGCCGTCTGAAGAATCTCAGGGGATGTAGCAACTTCGGACGTAATGTTGATAATTCTGCCGCCCCCGCCCTCAGTTTTCGGAGGTAAGTAAGGCAAAGCCGCTTGTGTGACAAGAAATGCGCCCCGAACATTCGTGTTCATGGTAGTATCCCAGAGATTGACCGTGGTGTCTTCGACCTTGGCAAGCGTCGCCTTGGCAGCGTTGTTGACGATAATGTCAATTTTTCCGAACTTGTCGACGGTGGCTTTGACGAGCTTAGCAGGTCCATCTACAGTGGATATGTCTGCTTCAACAGCTATCCAAGGGGTGTTTAGGCTGTTTCCGACTTCGTTGGCGGCACCCTGCAGATCTGGCCAGCCATAGTTGATCACCACCGAGGCACCTCGGGCTGATAGCTCTCTAGCTACTGCAGCTCCAATGCCTGATGAAGATCCGGTGATGAGAGCCACCTTCCCGGCGAGAGCGTTTGGGCTTGCGTCTCGAGGGGGGTTGATACGCCTGCGGCTCGCGATGGCTTCCATATTGTTTGTGGACGGCGTTTTGGCGTGGACGTAGAAGACAAGTTTTCACTTGAGCAGATCGATTGAGGAATAGTTTGCTGAATGTCTTTGATAAGCAACCACACAAGATTCAGGCACTTGGTCCTTGAGGTACATATCTAAGACCACATAAACTATCGAGGACAGTCCATCCCCGATGCAACCGCCGGCTCCGATCCTTGATCCAACAAGCATCTCTCCCACGGAAAGCTTGTGCCACGTAATTCCGCCGGCCAAACAAAATTATGGCTGTAGCCAAGTTCAAGATCCACGTATCGTCATTTCCATGGTGATGATTCAGTTGGGTGGAACCCCGCTGCAAGCTGCACGGCCCCGGATTTCGGCCGGAACTCGCACGATGATACTTTCCGGCACCGCCTCATGGAGTCATCTTAGGCCAAGGCAAGATCTACAGTCTTGTTTGACTTACAATCCTTACTAAGCGATAATGGCGTTATTATGGTGAAGTTACTTCGGCCTACTGCTGAGGGCCGTCGGTGACGGTTCCGTGGAGTCAAGGTTAGTGTCAAAGGTCCCGAATCAACCAGGCAAGTCATAAGTTGACCGCCACTGATCGCAGCGAACTTCAGCATCTCTGAGCTAGACTAGCTTGGCCTCTTTCCTTCTCATCAATCAACATGCCAATCTCATTTGAGGACACCTGCGCTGCCGAGACGCACCCAGACGCTGACGGAGTCACGGGATTGGCCGTTTTGGCTGTTAAAAGCACCGGTAAGACTATTCGATGGACTTTCAAACAATCAAGGGGACTATTGACTCACTACTTGTAGGAGTGCCCTTCATTGAGAAATATTACGGTAGAAGAAGCGCTATCGGATCTGACAAGATCGACAGCAATAGTGCTTTTTGGATCTACTCCATCACCAAAACCATCACAGCTATTGCAGCCCTGCAATGTGTTGAGCGCGGCGAAGTTCAACTCGATGAGCCCATTTACGATATTCTTCCTGAGCTAAAGGACTTCGGTGTGCTTGGTTACGACCAGACAGGCAACATTATTCTCACACCCCACAAAGAGAAGATTACCCTCCGTCATTTGCTATCTCACACCAGCGGAGTAGGTGTGGATCTGTTTGATCCGCGCCTTCAAGCATGGCGGATGTCACGCGATGAGCACCCTCAAGCCTTTTCGGGAGACTCGAAGAAAGCTTACACCATCCCCCTCCTGTTTGAGCCTGGCCAAGGATGGGCCTATGGAGGCGGTGTCGAGTGGGCCGGTATTGCTGTTGAGAGACTGACCAAGTTGAAGCTTGGAGAGTATATGAAGAAGAATATCTTTGATCCTCTGGGAATGACTAGCACAACATTCCATCCGGACACGAACCCGGATATTCAGAAGCACCTTGTTGAGACCAGCACGAGGATTTCAGATGGCACACTCGTGCCGATGACGGGGCCATACCCCGGGGTGACTGAGGATGACAGTGGCGCTATGGGACTAGTCTCAACGGTTCCAGATATCGCAAAGCTCACAGCCGATCTCCTCAAAGAGACGCCGAGCTTGCTTGGGCCAGATTACCTGGCGGAGTTATTCTCGTCCCAGTTCAGCCCCGATTCACCGGCAGCTAAGATGCTTTCATACGGAGCGGTAAGTCTCTCATGGCTCTGATTGAAGCAATTTGAATGCTGATGATTGAAATACAGATGATGTATGGCCGCCTGACCGGGGAACCGTACGATCCCGAGAAGGTGGGACAGGCTCCAGGAGCGTACTTTGTCAAAAAAGATACGCAAGGTCTGCCCGGTGGAACTCTCGTGATGACAGGAATTCCAAATCTGGTGTGGTTTGTCAATCGCGACAAGGGAGTCGGTGGGCTTTACGCCAGTGCCATCATGCCCCCCGACGATGCGAAGAGCACCGAGTTGATTGCTGGTTTCTTGAGGGAGGTCTTCAACAAGGACTGAGCAGTCGCATGCGGCTTAGTCCGTCTAGTCACTGAAAACACGATGGTCCATGTCAACCGCAATCATACTGCCTAGACTTCTTAACAAAGATTGGCTTTATCCCAAATCCTATTCATTGACTGAGAATGAATTGACAATGGATGTCCGTTTCCCCACCCTCTGCGCCGGCGCCTGGACCCCACGCTTCGGCCCCGAGCGTCCACACTTTTCTTTGATCGGGGTCGGACGCCAACTTGAAAGCTGCCAATGCCCCGAGCGTAGGACGGATGATCGGACATTGCTGACTGCACGTCCGTACTTCAGATGGTATCCCAGGCTAGATCTGATTTTGACAGTTGACAGTTCCCTTGATTGATCACGGGGTGTCTTTCTCAGTTGTGACATTGAATTAACCCCATATTTGGCAGTCAAAGTTTTTGTTGGGCGTTTGCGGCTGGAGATCCGAAAGGGTCCCCACGTCGCGGGTTCCACGGCTTCCATGAATGTTCAAAATCCAAGCCTCCCTTCCGTACACACCTGCATATCCGTACATCTGTATGGCCTTGGGCTGCATTCGTGAAACAGTGCTCACCAACTCTGTAGGTGCGAGCGACCAAAAACATCAGATGATGACAACATATATACCGAGAGGTCTTGTGAGAAGGATGAAGGTTTTTGGAGGGATATCACTTGCTTACTCGGCGGCTCTCACGTTGGTCTTTGCTGCGAGTGCATGACACGATGTTCAGCTTCTGGGTGTCAGTAGCCCTCTGGGCAGGCCTGTCTTCGCAGGTTCCGTTGCTGGAAACGAGGCAAGACGACAAAGCTTCCAGGCCCCTTCAATTCAGCAGTGATGGAAACTTCAAGATTGCCATCTTTGAGGATCTCCACTTTGGAGAGAGTAAGCTCATACTGGTCATTGAGAGGCAAAAAAGAATTTGCAATCGCTGACATTCTGCAGATGCCTCGTCATTCGGTCCAGCCCAGGACAAGAAGACCGTGAAAGTCATGAACGATGTTCTCGACAAGGCCAAACCAGACTTTGTTGTTTTGAATGGCGATCTCATCACTGGCGAGAACGCGTTTCTCGAAAATGCCTCGTTTGTTCTCGACCAGATTGTCCAGCCTATGCTCGATCGCAAACTTCCTTGGAGCAGTACATATGGCAATCACGACTATCAGTTCAATCTAAGTGGTAGTGACATTCTCGCCCGCGAGGGAAAATGGGTCAACTCCAGGACTCAGAAGATGGTCTCGGGCGATGTTGGCGTCTCCAACTACTACCTCCCAGTGTACGCGTCGGATTGCACCAAGGACAGCTGCGCTCCAGAGCTTCTCCTTTGGTTTTTCGATAGCAGGGGTGGCTTCAAGTATCTCCAAAAGGATTCGTCAGGCAACCAAGTCGGTAACCCAAACTGGGTGGATGAGAGCGTCGTCTCGTGGTTCAAGTCTACCAGTTCCGACCTGGTCAACAAGCACAAGAAGAACATTACCTCACTTGCATTTGTACATATCCCACCGGATGCCTCACGCGCCGTACAGGCGAAAGGCATCGACCCGGCCAAGGAGCCCGGCATCAACCAAGATAACCCCCTCTCTCGACAGTCCGAAGGATGGTGCAGTGATGGCACCAACAAGGACACGTGCAGCTACGGTGGCCAAGATAAAGCCTTCATGCAAGCCGTTACTGCGACTCCGGGTATGCTTGCAGTCTTCAGCGGCCACGACCACGGGAATAGCTGGTGCTATAAGTGGAGCGGCGCTGTCAACGGGCTAAGCGTTGAGGGCACCGGTGTAAATCTGTGCTTCGGTCAACGCTCGGGTTATGGAGGGTACGGAAACTGGATTCGGGGGTCGAGACAACTGTCTTTGACGCGAGACAATCTGTCAAAGGGTATTGTGGACACTTCAATACGACTGGAGTCCGGCGACGTCGTCGGGTCTGTTACGCTAAACTCAACGTACGGACAGGATCAGTATCCTGTTACTCCGGATCAACGAACTTAAGGTCGTCCGTGAGACCTTCATAATAGGGGACAGTTTGAACTTGGACAACTGTCGGATGTGCTCCTCACAGCTTCTAACAGCCCCTAGTCCAGA